GAGACTGTCCTCACCCCCAAACTGTCCTCATCCCCAGACTGTCCTCACCCCCAGACTGTCCTCATCCTGAGACTGTCCTCACCCGCAGACTGTCCTCATCCCCAGACTGTCCTCACCCCCAGACTGTCCTCATCCTGAGACTGTCCTCATCCCGAGACTGTCCTCACCCCCAGACTGTCCTCATCCTGAGACTGTCCTCACCCCCAGACTGTCCTCACCCCCAGACTGGTCCAATTTACTCTTCATACTGGTCCCTTAGAACTCTGTAGGACCAGTTCAGACTGCACAGAACCAATCGGGACTCAGTAAATGGGTAACTTTTACAGTTTATCACACAGGTTCTACTGGTACAGTTAAATAAACAGGTGTTACTGTAATGGGATATCACACCAGTTATACTGGACCTGGTTTAGTCTCAGTTAACCCAGTCCAGTTCTGGTTCTGTCCTCTGTGGTGTGTTTAGGTGTCCTCAGTGACAGTAGGAGGTTTGTGTTCTGTATATTCTCAGTGTGAAACTGGTTAAACTGGTATTTATGTCGGTAATAACAAATACTCCTGTTCATGATGATCAATATTTAATCAATAGTACTCAGTATCTCCACTCTTCTTTATCTGTGGTTCCTCTGTGGTCTAAAAATCTGATTCTGGTTCTCAGTTCTCCTTTCATCATCAGAAAATCACTTGATATAAATAATTATTGATCATTGATTGATCAAGACCATCAGTAAATGGATTACTTTTAATTTAACCACTTTATCAATTAAATGTCAACAAACAATAAATAAATATACAGACGTAAATAAATGAAATATAGAGTTAGAGGGCAGATGTAGGGTCAGAGGGTAGATGTTGTGTTAGAGGGTAGATGTTGTGTTAGAGGGTAGATGTAGGGTTAGAGGGTAGATGTAGGGTCAGAGGGTAGATGTTGTGTTAGAGGGTAGATGTTGTGTTAGAGGGTAGATGTAGGGTTAGAGGGTAGATGTTGTGGTAGAGGGTAGGATGTTCTGAGGCTCCAGCAGATGGAGAAAACCTGTGTTCTCTCCATGATGTCAGTAAATGTACCATAGATCAGCTGCAGTACCTGGTTGTTCCACCAGGTGGAGCCTCTTACTGTTTAATCCTGTAGAGACCAGAGGAGGCATCAATCGGACTACAGTTCATGTTGGCAGCAGAGAGCATTGTGGGAGTTTAGCAGCAACTGGCACCATGACAGAGACCAATGTGGAGGTTGATGACCTCCAACTAGAAGTCATGAGTGTTGAGTTCATACCAGCTGTGAGTGAAGTCATTTGTAGGCATGTTTTACATGTGAAGTCAATGTGAAATAGTGAGTGAACACAATTTGATGTCTGGTGGCACAATCTCACCTCATCAAACCCACAAGTTGAAAAATCTTACCTTTAACAATCTTTCGTGCTGCGATGGCCAATCAGCGCTGAGATTCTCTGGTGATTCATTCGTTTTTTTACAACTACACTGTGAATACTGATTGATTTACTCACCCCAGGAGATAAGCAGTTATATTACTGTCCAGGGCAGATGTCAGAGCTCAGCAGACGGGCTGTTCCTCTGCTCCAGTTCACACACCAGAATGCTGCTCTTCAACTTAGCCAGCTAACGAGCCGAGCTGCTCGCTATTGTTAGCAGGATAAACCTCCGCTGGCTCCTGGTCGCTGTGGTCAGCGTCCTCCTGCTGGCGGCTGCTCGTCCGTGTTGTTGTATGTGATGAGGAAAAAATATGGCTCTATCTCAGCAAGCGCCTGTAGTTAGTATCCTGGAGGGATATCCTGGTACCGATCCTCTCCAACAGGTAGTCAAACTGGGTCCAGGTCAGCCCAAAACAGCGCTGGAATTACTGATTGATAGCAGTGCATTTATTAATAAAAATACTCCAAATTAGCATCCTGCCACAAACTGTGCTCTCTTTATATGGCTCTTGTGTGACAGCAGATGTAAGCTGAAGGTCAGACTGAAATTAAAGCTGATACGGATCCATTAAGAAAGGCTTTGATCGACCAAATCCTGAACTTTGACATCAGACCAGAACATCTTCAATAGAAATTCAGTAAATCCTAGAGGAACACGGAGGACAACCAGGACGAAGCCGCACTGTGATGAGGTTCAGGTTGGCTGGTTAGGACCAGGTATCACTGGTCAGAGCCTCAAACCAACCTCCATGCTCCCCCACATCAAGTCCATCAGTCCTTGGAGATATGATCAGCTGGTTCTGGTCCAAGGAGGAGACGCTGGGATCTTGTTCATCAAACAAAACTTTTAGTTCAGGTTGTTCATTTTTAAGCCGTTGCTTTCTGTCAGACAGTTTTCTGATTGAACTGATGAAGGGACTCTGTGGGTCGGACCTGTTGGACTTGATGTGGAGGTCAGTTTGGGGTTCTGTCCGGTGACACCTGGTCCAGACCAGCCAACCTGAACCTCATCACGGTGCAGCTTTGTCATGATAATTTGTCAATTTGTGTGACTAAAGCTTCAAGATGGATCACAGAGGAAACACAGAAGCTTCTGGTTCATCAGAGTTCATGTTCATTTCAAACATTTTCAAATCAGCTATTAGCTCGATTTCCTCAGAGGAACAATTCAGCTCTCATGTTTGTGCACTTAGCTTATCCTAGCATAGCTTAGCTTAGCATAAACACTGGAAAACAAACAGAAGCAGCTAGTCTGACGAGGATGGCATATCTGCTGTTTAACCCTCTGAACTTCAAGCAGCCGTTTGTCTCATTTTTTTTCACTGTGGATCATTTTTCACTGAATATAAAATCCCACAGCTCTATGGAACCAGAACAACATGAAGGAGAGAGAACATCGGCTGTAGAAAGATGTTCCACCATCAGATGAATGTATCTCCACCAACTGACTCCTCTGGCCTCTGGTTCTGATCCGTGCTGCATCTATTCATTGATCCAGTAGGGTGGATTCTCCTTCAGTCTCTGTGAGAAAACTCTGGCTGCAGTTCACCTGAAACTCTGAATGTTTCCTGTTGGTCACAGCTGAGTCAGAACCAGAGTCAATCAGAACCAGGAGGAGGAAGGTTCTGATTCTACAGGATCTGATTAATCTGGTTATAGCAGATGGTAAGTGATGGTGTGACGCGGAAAATAAAGCGACTGATGAAATTTCAGGATTTTGAGTTCAAATTTGGTCTCACGTGATGCGTTCAAGGACCATCAAAGAGTTTAAGCGCAGAAGAATCTTTTTTGTCTTTTTCCCTTTCTGGCTAATAAATGTATAATTTTAGTGTTTTTTATTCAGAGTCCTGCTGCAGGTTTTGGGTTCAGAGGGTTAAATGAACCTTTCGTGTTCAGGGAGTTTGTTCCTTCGAGGACGTCGACCTGCAGCTGATCTGATGATGTCACCTAAACATGTCGTTCTTTGACCCACAGACTCCGCCCCCCAGACGGTCTTGCTGACATCAGGTCTAGGTGAGAGCTTATTGGCTGAGACTGAGATGTGACCCCCTCCCCCCCACAAACACCCGCTGCCTGTCACTGATTGGTTTGAATGTTTGTCTCTGCACCTCCCACCTGACGGCTCGCAGCCAATCACCGCGCAGCATGGTTTGATGTAGCACCAGGTGACCGCACAGGTGTTTCTGATGAATGTACTTTTGGCGCTGTTGATTGGTTCTGCTGCTCTGATGTCACAATAATAAAACTGTTTACAGCTTTGTAAGAACGGAGGCTCTGATTGGTCCTTCACTGCTGGTGTTACAGTCACATGATCTGTTGCAAATCAGAATCAGTTTTTTATTTGAACTCAACACAGAAAACCAGAGAAGCTGCTGTGATTTAAAGTAAAACTTCCTTCATGTTTAATCTTCTGGTTTCACTTTATTATCTGAATGTGATGAAGAAGTTTGACAGTTTCTCTGCTGATAACTTTTATTTACATATAAATAACCATCCATATATACAAATACAGTCACTGCACAAAATGTTCATACTTCACTTTACTGTGTGTAGATTCGTTTTTAGAGTCGTCGAGGAACCCAGAAAGACAAAAACAACATTTCATTTTTTTCTTTAAAAACAAAAAAAGAAAAAACATTATTTTATGAACAAACAAAAATTTCTTTTATAGTATTTTAGCTTTTTAGTTTAATTCTCTTGGTTCAAGATTCAATGCATTTAGTTTTTTTGTTTTTTCCCCCTAATTATATAATTTTTTACTTGAATTTTTAAAAATGTGTTTACCTTTTGTTGTAGTTATTTTTTCCCTATTTATTTTTTCAACTATTTTTTCTTCAACATGCTTTAAAACTTATTTTCATTTTATATTTAAATTAAGTTCTTTGACTTTTTAACTGTTTTGTTGTTTTTACTTTTAATTATTTATATTTTCTTTTATTTATTATTATTACCTCCACCAAGGAGGTTCTGATTTAGCCAGGGTTTGTCTGTTTGTTTGTTTGTTTGTTTGTTTGTTAGCAAGATAGCTCAAAAAGTTATGAACAGATTTTCATGAAATTTTCATGAAATGTTGATAGTGGCACAATGAACAGATGATTAACTTTTGCTGATGTCCTGGCTTACTGTCTGCTTATTTTCTCATAAAACAGTCAGTGCTGTTCAGTGTTACAGTCACACAGAACGCTGTCGTTGCACCATTTGTCCACTAGATGGAGCTCTGCCTCCATTCAGTCCTCAGTCCTCACCGCTGTCAGCAGTGCAGGAGGAAGCTGCAGCCAGGCAGCCTCACAGGAGTGGGCTGAGCCGAGCTGCTCACAGATACGTTCAGAACCACGTAGTGACGTTAACAATGACTCAGCAGGTCTCCTGGTTCACACTAACAATGACTCAGCAGGTCTCCTGGTTCACATTAACAATGACTCAGCATGTCTCCTGGTTCAGTTTAACTCTCTTTGCCATGAGTCAGGACGACTGACGTGTGCTTCAATGCGTGGCTTTTCATTTACGTTGCTAAAGTTGTGCTAACCTAGCTTAAGCTACTCCCCGTCTGTTTATGTTAGCAATAACATCGCTGTAGTTATGCCGACCTAGCATAGCGTTAGCGAACAGCTTAAAGCCAGTAAGCAGCTGCAGAAATAACGTCAGTGAACAAAATATTGTAGAGTCCAGAACGAGCGTCCATCACTCTGTCAGCTTGTTATTAATGATATCAATGCTAACTCAATGCTAAAGCTATGTTCTGCTTCTCCATGAATCCAACAGTGTAGATAAATGAATCAGGACTTTAACATCAGCTGGAGATCAGAGCCTGGTGGAGATGAGCTGCTGGAGGAGGTTCTCAGAGGGCTTCTCTAACAGCAATAAGAACAATGAAAAAACGCTTAGTTTGAATTCTCCAAAACCTTTTTAACCCATTCTTTGACTTTTATCTAAGTTTTTGAAATGTTTTAAAGCAATGTTAGCCGTAGTAACATTATTTAACTTTTTATGAATTTTATTTAAACTTTTATGATTCATTTGTTTAAAAACTTTTTTTTTCAAATATAAATTGTAAACTTAAAAGAAAAGGAAACATGACAACATTTAAAACTCAAGTCGAGAAGCAAAAATCAGCAGAACAGTGGAAACACTCCTGTGATGTCATCTGGGGGCGTGTCTTAAGGCCACAGGTGTGACTGCTGAAACTGTCCAATCAGGTTCTTTCAAATGTGAAAAATCACGTTTTCACTTTGAGGTTGTTAATGTCCTAAAACTAAATCTGAAACACTTTAAACATGTTTGTTATCAGGATACGACTGGACGTTGATCGATGCGTTACTGAATAATGAAGTCCAGTTTCAGCTGCACAGCCCTCTGAGCCAGAGGGGCATTATGGGTAAAGTAGCTGAGGAATAAATGTCTGATGATGTCACAGTTCAGGTGGACGCTTGTCAGTCTAAACGACGTTGAGTTTCTTCTTCTCTGGTTCTGCTGCGTTCAGGAAGCTGATGTGACACTCCTGCGCTCGCTGCCTGCTGCGCCGTGATGATGTCAGCGATGTCCAGCAGGGGGCGTGCCCACAGTTCCTGCAGTGACCTTGCAGCACAAGGGCGGCGGTCAGCACCACGGCGCCCAGCGTCACCGCCGCCAGCACCAGCAGGACGATGAGCTGCGGCTCCGACAGGCCGCCGCGCCGCTCGCTCACCGTCACCTTTAGCAGCCTGTCTCCATGACGACTGCTGTTTCCGCCGCTGCTGGTCGGGGCGGCGCTCCTCTCGCTCGTCCCACCTCCGTCCCAGCCCAGCGTGGTCCAGCCGGGCTCACGGCCCCTCAGCGGCGTCTCGCAGGCCGCGCCGGTGAAGCTGGGCCGGCAGACGCAGCGGAAGCCTCCGGCACGGTCGAGGCAGCGGCCGCCATTCAGGCAAGGCCGGCTGGCGCAGTCATCCAAGTTCACGGTGCAGAAGCGTCCGCTGAAGCCGGCGGGACAGACGCACGAGAAACGATTCACTCCATCCAGGCAGGTGGCGCCGTTAGCACATGGCTTCATCGTGCAGTCGTCCACGTCGGTTTCACAGCGCCGCCCTGTGAAGCCGGCGAGGCAGCGACACGTTAGCTCCGCCGCGAAGCCGTCGCCGTCCTCGCACTGACCACCGTTCTTACACGGAGACCTGCAGACAGAAGAGGCCGCAGTGAAACCGACAGCAGACAGCTGTGATCGGGCTGAACTCAGAAGGCCAAGAACCACAGGAACCAGCTGACGTGTGGGATCAGTTATGGAGGTCAGTGTTCTGCAGTCCTCAGAGTATTGGGATCATTATTTTCACTGATCGATTATCATTACAGAAGTTCAATGTTCTGCTTGGGCTGTGATGCAGCTCCTCTCTGTGGTTTCAGACCCACCCACAGCAGGATCTGATTGGTTACACCTCACAGTGACAGCCAATCACTGGCAGCTATTGTTTACACAGAGAGACAGACGAGCACATTAGCAGACTGTAGCAGCTCCAGCTAGCAGCTAGCTTCTAATAAACACCACAATCCTCCACAACTGCTCAGTTTCACCTGAACGCACCAAACACTGAGAGGCTGCATCAGAAATCAGGACATTAGCTGTTTTCAGAGTGGCTAATGCTACACTAATGGCTAGCAGCTAAGTTAGCAGGCAGCAACAGATTAATCTGAAACAGATTCTAAAATAAAAAAAAAATAATAAAGCTCTAAGATCTGGACCTTGGTGGGAAATAAAAGAGGCAGACTGGTATTGATCTCACCTGTTCAGGTAACAGGGGCCCGTCCTCCTCTGGCAGGTGGGACCGTGGAACCCTTCAGGACACAGACAGCTGAAGTCACCGCTGTCCTCCATCACACAGGTGGCGCCGTTGTGACACGGCTGTTGCCGTGAGCAGATGCTCAGATCTGAACAACACGTGTATTTAACGTTTTAGTTCAAGATTCCATCAAACAGAACGTAAAGCATCGGCTGATGTCTCACCTTTATCGCAGAATCGCCCCGCCCACCCAGACGCACAGGTGCACTGCCATGGCTGCTCGCAAGAACCGTGAACGCAACCAGGCGTCAGAGCGCAGCGATCGCAACGCTCGCCATCCCACCCAGGGTCACACCTGGACGCAAAGAGACGTACAGGAGACAGGAGGGAGACACAAAGGAGGTGTGGCTACAGGGTTAGAGTCCCCCCAACAGGTGAGCTCACTGTAAACAGGTGAGTCTGAAGCACACAGACAGACTGAGGTCTGCTGCTGCTGCGGAGACATACATTGATTGATTGATTGATTGATTATCTCACCTGCAGACTCCAAACTCGTCACAGCGGCTGTTGCTGATGTCACAGCTGCAGTTTCCTCCTGCAGGGACAACAGAAGGTCAGAACATCTCACAGGTGAAGACTAACCTGCAGTTTGATCACCTGGTCAGTGATTGGTTGTCAGTATCGATCCAATCTGAGGACGATAACTGTTTATCAGTCGAGTTTGTTTTGTTCTGACTTAAAGAATCTGAAAGTTCTGTTCAACCAGACAGTCAGGTGTGTGGGCGGAGCCTCAGGTCAGCTGTGTGAAGTTCAGGAAAATTAACCAGATCTGAACTTAAAATCATGAAAATCTTTTTTTTCTTCATGTCTCATTTAAACATTCTACAGAGTTACAGTTACACCAGATCCTGTAGAACCAGAACCTTCCTCCTCCTTGTTCTGACCCTGTAGAACCAGAACCTTATTCCTCCTGGTTCTGATTGACTCTGGTTCTGACTCAGCTGTGACCAACAGGAAACATTCAGAGAGTTTCAGGTGAACTGCAGCCAGAGTTTCCTCAGAGAGACTGAAGGAGAATCCATCCTACTGGATCAGATGCAGCACGGATCAGAACCAGAGACCAGAGGAGCCAGTTGGTGGAGATACATTCATCTGATGGTGGAACATCTTTCTACAGATGATGGTGGAACATCTTTCTACAGCTGATGAGCAGAGCAGAGAGGAGAAGTCTGGAGAGGCTGGAACATGGTGATAGTCAAACATCTACAGGATCTGCAGACGACATTAGTTCTTGGGTTTAACATCTGGAGACATGTTGGCTCCTGGTTTTTACATTTTGAAAAATGACTATATTTAGATTAAAGCCTCTGGTCTCCATGGTTCTGAGTCCTGCTGACAGAAGACGTCTCTGAGTTCTCTCTCCGTCTTCATGTTGTTCTGGTTCCACAGAGCTGCAGGACTTTTTGATGCAGGTAAACATGAACCTCAGTGAAGGAACGTGAGACAAACCGCTCAGAGTTCAGAGGGTTAAACAGAAGACTTAAATTAGCCCCATCATGCTACCTGCTTCCTTGTGTTTCCAGTGTTCATGCTAAGCTAATTCAGCTTGATTAAAACTAAATGCTGCCTTCAGAGGCCAGACAGAAGAACCAGCAGCAGCTTTAGCTGTTGCCCATCGGCTCATTAGAATCTATCAGAGCTCTTCTCAGGTTCGCTGCCTGGCTGCAGGTGAAGTGAAGATCGAGTGTCGGCTGGAATGAAGCAGGATAGTTTTCAAAGGGAATCCTGAGGAACAAACGGTCTGAAGGTCGACAGCAGCTCTGACATCACGGCGAGCTGAAGCCACGTGTCGAGCGGCTGTCAGAGGTCAGAGGTCAGAGCCAGAGACGCTTCCTGACAGCTGAGACCTGAACCCAGCAGAAGCCTGAAGGTTTAATCTGCTGCAGAACAAACGCAGCGCTGAGGAACCTTCACGTCGAGACCCAGAGTCCTGATCGGGTGAATAAGTGCTGCTGAGGGACGCCAGGCGAGTTTCAGATGACAGCAGAACAGCTGGGAAGAGCTGAGTGTCATCTGAGAGCTCAGACAACAGAGACACCTGACAGCTGGCCGAGCCCGGATTAGCAGGAACAATAGCAGCCCAGCGCCTCTGAGCGCGCTCAGTGACGACCCCCAGCATCCAGCCGGGACAGCGGCGGGAGATTTATGACCGAGAAGGACCACCCCGAGTCCAAATTAACTGTCAAGGTTCTGCTAGAGGAGCCACAATAAACTGTGTTCCCCAAACGTCGGATGTCCGTTACGATCACGTAACACGAGCTGGTCGCCATCATGACCAGGTCATGACCTCATCACCGCGTTCCAACGCTGTTTCTTTACAGTCTGATGTGTTTTCAGTAACAGATGAACAATCTGCGGTTACATCGTCAGCTGTCGTCACGGTTACTGCATTGATCCCGAATCAGATGCTGATCAAGATGTTTGATCAGGTGAGTGCGCTGCTCTGTGATTGGCTGTTTGAGTCTGCTGCTCTCTGATTGGTTGGAGATCGAGGAAACATGAGTATTTTCATTTTTTTACCTTTAAAATTTCTGATCAGTTGTGTGGAGGAGCAACAACACTGATTAGTTATTATTGATTATTGATCAGTGTTCTCGGTAATGTTTCTGTGCAGACTCATCTCTTCATGCTCAAACATTAAAACCTTCATATTTACTCACAAAACACAGAAACATGATTATTAAACGATGACTTAGCTGCTGTACTTGTGTTTTCGGAATCTTAATCTTCTCTCAGCAGACTGAGGTGTGGTTGGTGCAGAGTGATCATGTGACCTACCTTCACCTGTGCAGGTTGGCACGATGAGGCTGAGCAGCAGGACGGCTGCAGCTCTGAGCGCCGACATGTCGGCTGCAGCAGGACGACGGCCTGAAACACAAGAAGCTGCACTTAGATAAACTCTGACAGCTGAGACGCAGCTCGACCCGCCACGTCTTTACTGCGGCGTCTTGGTGTGAACCAGGTGTGAAGCAGATAAATCAGAGCTGCAGGGTGAGAACTGTTCAGCTGTTAGCACATCAGGGTTCAACCAAACACAAACAGAAGCTTCATCTGATTCACATGTTGATCCGGTGAAACCAACCTGCTGCTGCTCACAAACATCACAGTCTGTGTTTTAACAGCTGTCACAGCAACTCTGAAGAACACAACAAAAACACGGCAAAGAAACGAACCAACAAACCAAACACACGGCAGGACAAAGTGAAGTCAGACAAATCAAACAACCACCAACAAACTGCAAAGCAACAACAAAGAAACAAACCCCCCCGTGCTGTTTGTTGTTGTTTGCATTTTGTTGTTGTTTTGCAATCAAGAGTTTTTCTTTCTGTTTTGTTGTGACCGACCACGTGACACCTGAGCTCAGGTGAGTGTCTTTGTCCTCACATGAACTCAGCTTTTAAAGATCCTCTGAAATGTGTCTGAGACGTTCAAAGGCTGAAACCTGACAGAAGCTTCATCGCTCAGAGCTCCACCTGTCGGCCTGTCTGCAAACATTTCATTCTGCTCAACCGACAACCAGCACATCAGTCCAACAAGCTACTGCAACAACAACAAC